GTCCCCTCCAAAGACTTCGAGTACTTGTATACTCACCCTCAGCCATGCTCTCTTGTTGTACAGTTCGTTAACGAGAGGGAGAGACACGGCCAACAAGCCCCCGGACCTAAATCCAAGGATGCTAGATGCCTGGATTTATTCAGGTGCAACATATACTCTACTAGTGGCTTGTAACTCAGAGTGGCTAACCAGCAGGCCCTCTTGAGCCGATTCAATTATAATACCTGGAACTTGATGCAGAAGTTCAAGGAGCTTATCCCTCAAGAGTCCAGGGAGGAGTTCGGGGCTTTAGCAGAGGAGGGCAAGAAAGTAGCCAGAAAGAAACAAGCCTCATTAGATGTGGCAGACTCGACAGCTAGGACTCTAGCCTCAGGAGTAGCTATGCGCCGCATCTCCTGGCTACAGGTCTCCGGTCTCCCACCTGAATTCCAGCAAACCATACAGGACCTACCCTTTGATGGCCAGAGTCTGTTCTCGGAGAAGACAGACTCCAGTCTTCAGAGTCTGAAGGACAACTCGGCCATCATGTGTTCACTGGGCATGCATACCCTGGTAACGCAATGTAGGCCCTTCCAATCCCAATCACAGCACACCTACCCCAACCCCTGGCCCAGACAGGACTTCTTTAGAAGACGCAGCCGAGGTGGTAGGTGGAGACAGTCTGGTCAGCAGACGGGCCAGAGCCAGGGTCCCCCCAAATCATTTGCAGGACCCAAACAACACTTTTGAAGGTGTGCCCAAAGGCGGAGCACCAGTCTCCTTCCAGGATCCTTCCCTGCCTTTCTACAACCGCCTCTCCCATTTCCTCTGTGCGTGGTCCTGTATAACATCATACCGCTGGATCCTACGCACAGTGGAAAGTAGATACAGCCTTCAATTTGCTCGGCGCCCCCCCTCCCCATCCCCGTCCTTTTTCAGGGACCCTTCTCACGAGCAACTCCTTCTACAGGAGGTGCAAATGCTCTTAGCTATCGGAGCGATAGAGGAGGTTCCAAGGGAACTGAGGGGCAGGGAGTTTTACTCCCGATATTTCCTAATCCCCAAGGCAAAGGGGGGGCTACGGCTCATCCTGGACCTGCGTGGACTCAGCAAATTCATGGTAAAGTTGAAGTTCTGCATGGTTTCCCTGGAGACCATTATTCCTTCCCTGGATCCCGGAGATGGTACACCGCCCTCGACATGAAGGACGCGTATTTCCACATAGTGATTTACCCGCCACACAGGCGTTTCCTTCGCTTTGTGGTCAACCGACAGCACTTCCAGTCTACCATCCTTCCCTTCGGTCTATCCACAGCACCAAGGGTCTTTATGAAGTGTATGGCTGTCGTAGCTGTCTCCCTTCATCAACATCGTATCCAAGTGTTTCCGTACCTCGCTGACTGGCTCATTCAGGGCTGCTCCAGGGACCAGGTGCAATCTCATGTTCAGTTCACCATGAGCGTGTTCAGAGAGCTAGGCCTGCTGCTCAGTGTAGAAAAGTCCACTTTGGAGCTGACCCAAAGGATAGACTTCATCGGCACAGTCCTAGATTCAAAACTCGCCTGCGCATTTCTACCGGAAGCACGCTTTCAGGCCCTAGTGAACATCATTCATGGCCTGCAAGGCTTCCCGACCTTGACAGTATGGACATGCCTAGGTCTCCTGGGACACATGGCGTCTTGTACATTTGTGACCAGACACGCCAGACTACACCTCCGTCCACTTCAGGCCTGGCTCTCAACCGTATACCATCCAGGCCGGCACAGCATGGACATGGTGGTCACAGTACCGCCGGACATCTTAGGCTCCCTGAACTGGTGGCTGAACCTCAAGTAAGTAGTCGAGGGAGTACCATTCCATGCCCCACAGCCCTCCCTTGCCCTAACCATGGACGCATCTTTTCTGAGTTGGGGCACTCACCTCGGGAACTTTCGCATGCAGGGCCTTTGGTCCACACAAGAGATATCCCTGCACATCAATGTACAGGAGCTGAGAGCAGTGCGCCTGGCTTGTCAAGTATTTCACAGGCACCTTCAGGGCCATTTTGTTGCAGTTCTCACAGACAACACAACGGTCATGTTTTATATCAACAAACAAGGGGGAGCACAATCGTCCCCCCTCTGTCAGGAAGCCATTCTCCTGTGGGAATTCTGCATAGCCCACTCGATCCCTCTGGTGGCGTCTTTTCTCCCAGGAGTCCAGAACACCTTAGAGGACCACCTCAGCAGATCCTTCCAGGCTCACAAGTGGTTGGTTCGCCCAGACGTCATCCACTCTGTCTTCCAGAAGTGGGGGTTTCCCCACATAGACCTGTTTGCCCCTCGCGAGAATCGGAAGTGCCAGGTGTTCTGCTCTCTCCAAGGATGCTCCCCAGGTTCCCTATCGGACGCCTTCCTAATACTGTGGAAAAACCACCTGTGTTATGCCTTTCCTCCATTCCCGTTAGTCCACAGGGTCCTGCTCAAGTTGTGCAGGGACAGAGCCCACTTAATTTTGGTCACCCAGGCGTGGCCCAGGCAGCACTGGTATACCACTCTCCTAGAGCTGTCGGTGGTCACTCCAATTCCACTTCCGTTGTGGCCGGACCTGATCATGCAGGAACATGGACGACTCTGCCATCCTGACCTGCGATCCCTCCACCTTACAGTGTGGACGCTGCATGGCTAACTCCGTCTGAGCTACGTTGCTCCCGCTCGGTGCAACAGGTCCTTCTGGGTAGCAGAAAGCCCTCTACCAGATCCACGTATTTGGCCAAGTGGAAGCGTTTTTCCTGCTGGTGTGCTCTGAGTGATATGGCCCCCCCTGCAGGCGTCAGTACCTACCATCTTGGACTACCTCTTGTCCTTGAAACAGCAGGGCCTGGCAGTTTCATCCATCAGAATACACCTAGCAGCGATTTCAGCCTTCCACCCGGGCGAAAATGGGCCCTTGGTCTTCTCCAATCCTATGGGGTCAGCAGGTTCCTCAAGGGATTGGAACACCTGTACCCGCAAATTCGGCATCCGGTCCCTAAGTGGGACCTCAACCTGGTCCTATCCAGACTCTTGGGCCCCGTTCGAGCTGATGGCTACCTGCTCGCTCCTGTACCTTTCCTGGAAGACAGCCTTCCTCATAGCTATCATCTCGGCGAGGCATGTGTCCGAGCTTAGAACTCTTACGTTGGAACCACCATACATGGTGTTCCACAAGGACAAGGTACAGCTGTGACCACACCCAGCCTTCCTTCCTAAGGTGGTCTCTGCCTTTCATGTCAACCAAGACACCTTCCTCCTGGTCTTCTATCCAAAGCTGCACGCCTCTCGACGGGACCAACAACTGCACTTCCTAGACATTCGCAGAGCCCTCGCCTTTTACATCGAGCGAACAAAAACCTTTTAGGAAAACAACTCAGCTGTTTGTTGCTGTGGCAGACTGGATGAAAGGCCTCCCAGTCTCCTCCCAGCGCAGCTCGTCCTGGATCACATCATGCATCCGTGCGTGCTATGATTTGGCTGGTGTCCCAACTACACACCTTACTGGCCACTTCACCCGGGCCCAAGCTTTGTCCTCCACTTTCCTGGCTCATGTACCAATTCAGGAGATATGTAGAGCAGCAACTTGGTCATCGGTACATACCTTTGCTACCCACTATGCAATAGTCCAGCAGTCAAGAGGTGATGCGGCATTTGGTTCAGCAGTTCTGCACTCCGCGACATCTCACTCTGACCCCACCGCCTAGGTAAGGCTTGAGAGTCATCTAATTGAAAAGAAATTGGGGATTGTGCCTGCTTTGAGCAGGGGGTTGGACTTGATGATCTCCTGAGGTCCCTTCCAACCCTGATATTCTGTGATTCTGTGATATGAGCAAGCCTTCGTCAGTGAATCTGGCCCGGGAACTTCCCACCCAGAACTGTTGTTCTTCGAGATGTGTTGCTCATATCCATTCCAAACCCGCCCTCCTTCCCCTCTGTCGGAGTAGCCGGCAAGAAGGAACTGAGCTGGCGCTGGATCAGCTGGGGCATATTTTCAGCACTGTGAAGGCGCCACTCCAGGAGGCGCCTCAGCTGACCCACTGGGTGTGGCTAGGGTAAAAATCTTCCTACATCCTGCATGCGGCGCGCACACACCTAATTGGAATGGAGATGAGCAACACATGTCGAAGAACAACAGTTACAAAGTCCTTTTCCGCACATAAAATGGTTGCTTCCCCAGTCAACACTTCACGTTTTCATAACTTTCAGAGTCCCCCTAGGGCTTATCTGGAGAGGAAACAGCCTGTGTTAGTGGAGGATTGATGCCAATTCACATTATCTCAGTGACTGTCAGCATCATAAACCCTATGCAAAAGTGAATCCCTTTAAAAATAAAGAAGTAGCCCTCTATAACATTTCTAAGCATATCCAAATGTAGGTCACAAACATGAAGAGAAAGGCGTTACTTGAGATGTATATAGATTCACTGCTGCCGGGTTTTGTGCTCCAGCAGCTGGGATAGAGAAGTTGAGGCTGTGAAATGAGTAACCCGTTTTCAAAGGCAACAGTTTAGCACTGAACGTCCCCCGCCCCCGTCTTTCACCACTTCCCTGATTGCCAAAGTAAGGGGGGGTGCTGGGTATGATGAGTTCCCCTTTCTGGCTCCCAGGGCTGAGACCAAAAGATGACCAACATCGAGGCACAAGTACCCCCAGACGATGTGCAAAGCGTTCGCTGGTTGCAAAAGCGACCCCGCCGCCAGGGAGCCAAGCCCCAGCGGCGCGGCTCGGGGCAGGGGGGGATTCCCGGGGCGGATTCCCGGGGCGCGGCCTCTCCGGGCACAGCTGGATTGCGGGCCGCTCCAGCTGTTACTGCAACCTCCCAGCGCTTCTGCCTCTCGCTCCTGCCGGCCGGCAGGTTGAGGGAGGCGGAGGCGTCCCTCCTTTCCCGTCACGCCCTGGGGTGCTCAGTCAGCCCCGCAGCCAGGGAGGGAGCAGCCCGGGGCGCCTCCCCCCAGCCCCGCTGTCTTCCGCCTGCTGCTAACATCTGCTGCAGCCCGCGCGCTGCCTCGCAGCTGCTGCGACCGCAGCCTGGGCTCCCCCGCTCTGCGGCGCCTTCGTCCGTGAATCTGGCCCGGGAACTTCCCACCCAGCCAGCCCCGGCTCAGAGCCGCTCCCCTGCCGGGAAGGCTGGTCCCGCGCGGGAGGCGGGGTCACCGCCCCTCGGCTGCTCCGGCTCCGCCGTAACTTTGCATGTCGGGGTTCCCCTCGGGGAGGGGGAGCACCGCGGGGCTGCGAAGCGAACCGGCTTTCGCCCGCCAGCTACACACACAGTTTGCCGGGCGGGGCTCACTCGGCGCCCCAAACTTTCGCACAGGCTCCGCCCTGCGGGGCCAGCGGCGCGCCGCGGCTCGGAGCTGGCGGGCAGAGGCGGGGCGGGCTCGTGACGGATCGTGTCCAAAGCTGCCGAGCCCAGAGGCAACAGCGGCGGCTTCTGCCTCCCGGGCCCCGGCTGGCGGCGGGGGAGGACAGAGCGAGCGAGCTGAGGGGAGGCGCGCAGGGGCTCGCTCAGGGGTATTCGCCGCTGCGAGCGCTCGCTGCCTCCCGGGGACTCCAGCGGGCCCGGCCCGGCGCGGGACGAGCAAAGGTCGCCGGCTGAAAGGAAGCCCGGAGGGACCCGCGGGGAGGCCCGGAGCCACTGAGTTGCTGCGCTCAGCCAAATGGCTGCAAAGGTAAAGTGGGACTGGTTTGTCCGTGTTCAAGCTCGGGGCTCCCGGGCCAGGCACTTTAGAGTCCTCTTTGTGCTCCGAGAAGCCTCGGGGAGCATTCAGGGGCTGGTGTCACTCCGGCTAGGTCCCGGGGCGTAAGGAAGATCTGATAAAGTGAACAACACGCACCAATCACATGCCTTTGTGGGGAAACAGCTGGCACAGAATTATCATCCAGGTCATGTGAAATAATAATTCATTGGGAGCTGCTGCCACGGCTTATTGATACCAACTGTGGGGGCCGGTGCCCTGTTGGTCTGGGTTAGAAAGCAGTGGTTCCCAACCAGGGGTATACACGGGGGACATCAACTCATTTAGATATCTGCCTAGTTTTACAACAGGCTACATAAAAAGCACTAGCGAAGTCAGTACAAACTAACATTTCATACAATGACTTGTTTATACTGCTCTACATACTATATGCTGAAATGTAAGTACAATATTTATATGTCAGTTGATTTATAATTATATGGTAATATGAGAAAGGAGGCAATTTTTTCAGAAACAGCATCCTGTGACGCTTGTATTTTTATGTCTGATTTTGCAAGCAAGTAGTTTTCAGGAGAGGTGAAACTGGGGGTATGCAAGAGAAATCAGACTCCTGAAAGGGGTACAGTAGTCTGGAAAGGCTGAGAACCATTCTTTAGACTGTAAGTTCTTTCAGGCAAGGAATGTTTTACTCTATCTACATTTTTTGGCACAATATTTACAGTTTGTGGCCAAATGTTGCAAAAACGGTTGCATAACTTAGGCTCCACAGTGTGTATTTGTGCTGAATGCTCCTTGAAAACTTACTAATAAATGTAATTAATAATGAATATTCTGTGCCAGGTGTTGCACCAGAATGGCATGATACTTTTGTTTGTTTGTTTTTTACTAGCCACACATTTGTAATTGTAACTTGCCATCTGGAGAAGTATGTACATATTTACAGGATAGCTTGTAGGAATTGTATTGCATGTTTACATTTGCTGCTTGTGCTTCAGCTCTATGCACCACATCTGTCACTCCATTGACATAAATGAAACAAGGAATAGACAGGGCAAATGTGTGTGTGTGGGGGGAAGAAGGTGCACGTGGGCCTGATTCTGCTCTCACCTGCATCAGCTTCACACCAGTGCAATACCACTGACTACTTCTATCGCATGTGGGTGCAAGCGGGAGGAGGATCAGAGCTTTCAAAATTTTAGATCTTCTTTTCTGTAGTTAGTGAATGATATCAAGGGTTTTCCTCCAAGATGGAGATTCCATGTTCTTGTCAGTGGTGTATTGCTTGAGATTTCTGACAGGAATACTGGATGTTTTTAAAATCAATTTGAGGAGAACTGTTAGGCTTGTAAAAATGAAGGACTGGGTTTACTGGCTGTGGTCAGGCATTCAGATTACTCCAAACTCTGCTAATGCACTTCCAGTCTGACCTGCAGCACTCATGCCTTACGGTTCTAGTTTAAGGCCTTTTTATGAGCAGCAACTGTTAATCATGCCAACTTCTTAGTAAATTTTGGTTCCCCATTACAGTACCACTTAGAAGTTGGCTGAGCCATTCAAATTTGTTTTTTATCATTTGATGTTAGGTCTCCACAGATGAAAGGCTAGTGCATTAATCTATAGTAGCACTGAGCTTCCTAGTACATTTATTCTTGTTAAACTCAAGACCAGTTTTTTCTAGTAGAGGTAAAAAGTTAAAAAATGTTAAGTGCTAGTCTAGCCAGGAGAACATTTCCCCCTAGAGAAGAGGAGTTAGTTAGTGAACTCTCCTTTTTCCATGCTGCAAACCTGATCACCCTATCCCACAGAAAAATACATGGGTTAGGTCATTGGGAGCAAAATTAGCCGTGAAGTTCCACATAATAGGCCAGATCTTTGGCTGATGTATATCACTGTTTCATTTAATTTCATACAGCAACACTGATTTACACCAGTTGAGGATCTGGTCCACAGAGGTTTCCCTAAATTATTCCAGGGGTTGGGGTTTGCCCTCCTGTGCAATGAACAGAGAGTTCCACACATACATCTGAGGTCTGCGAGGCTGGGTACATCTGTGCATAGGCATTGAGCCGTCAGCTTGGCTCTGTGGCCCCATGATCCCTTTAGGATTCTAGGTAGCTCAGCTTTATTGGAGCCATGCTACGGGAGCTTCTTCCATCAGCAGCTACTGATAGCCCCTTCCCCCCGCCCATGAATAGTGATTTCAAGATATAGAGAGGGACAATGAAAAAGTTATTTGAAGCTTCAAGCTACATTGACTGTTTTGCAGATTCCCATGAGTTTTGGAGAAGGCAATACATGCCTAGCCCCTCTCCACTTGAGGATCTCTGACTTTGTAGAGAGGAGGAGTGGGAAGAAAGAATGGCAACATGGGTCTCAGAACAGGGGTGTTGGAACTAGGGGAGCTGGCGGTGTGGTAGCACCACCTAGCTTTAAGTGGCTTCCATCATGTACAGGGTCTACAGTTTTGTTCAGTGACTTTCAGCACCCCAACAATAAAAATTGTTCCAGTGCTGCTGTCTCAGAGGATGATTAGGCCCCTTGTAATTGTAAATCAAGAGTGAAAACACTGAGATGAGAATTATTATTGCAGATTATTTTTAAGAGAAAATGGGCCAACATTTTCAAAAGCACCTGAGTGATTTAGAAGTTTAAGTCCAATTGAAAAGCAATGGGACTTACGCTTCTAAGTTACGTAAGTGCTTTAGAAAATTTGACCCATGATGTTCTGGGCACTGTGTAAGACAAAACAATAAGACCATTCCTGCTGCAAGGAGTTTACCAGCCAAAAACAGATGCATAAAAGAAGATGCACTTGGAGACCCAGTTAACTTAGTGTTGGTATGTAATGATATCTCTCCTCTTATCTAGTGCTGGGGTAGAGTGTAGACACATCTGATGAAGTGAGCTGTGGCTCACGAAAGCTCATGCTCAAATAAATTGGTTAGTCTCTAAGGTGCCACAAGTACTCCTTTTCTTTTTGCGAATACAGACTAACACGGCTGTTCCTCTGAAACCTGATATTGTGTGTGTGTATGTCATATGGTTTTGCAGAAATTACAATGTTGCCTTTCTGATCACAATAGTACCTCTGAGGTTGAAATATCATTTCTTTCTAAACACATGAATCAAAATTTCAAAAACTGAACATCTGAGCAAAATTTCTCGCTGCTTGTACCTGCAACTGATCTGAAGAAATAAAGCCTGTTTCTCTTCCCACTTATACAGGATCTGCGTACTAGTGGAACTCCACTGACTTTGAGGGAGTTACTTCTGTTTTATACCAGGATTTCTGAAAGTTGAATTAGGCCCAATGTCTTTCAAAGTAGCTGGTGTCTAATAAAAGAAATGTCTTTACCTGCAGTTCTCCAAAACCGTATTTTTCAAGTTTGCCAGATTCAGGTACCATCAGGAGCAGATATTATGTTCCATTGTATAACATAACAAGAAAATGAGTGACAGCATAAGGTGCTATGCCTCAGTGTATTAAGCGGTACATTTGAACAACGGGCTGAGATCAAATTTTTCAGATGCCAAATGTTCTTTTACATAGTTCTCCTGCTATCAGGGGAAAGTCTGAGCAAGTGTCAAACTCAGGTCATTGTGGGTATTTAGAAGATGTCAATAGTTAAAGACAACAGTAATTTCACACAATTCACGCTAAGAATGGGTAGTAGAGGATTTGGTACAGTGAAATCACGAAACCAAGCTGTTTAAATTATGAACTAAACATAAGCAGCTAAAGAGATGTGCTTATTACATAACACTTCCACGGTTACTGTACTTTTTAATTAACATTTTAATTTATATATTTTTTTTCTTTGCAGGCAGGAATGTTCCCCCTGGTCCTCACATATACATGTCTGAATACTCGATTAAAACATAGTTAAAGAGGATATTAAAGCTTGGAACACTGTTTGTGGGTTCTAGGAGGATGGAGGAAAACAACTACTCTTGTGTATCCAGTCAGTCATGGTGTCCCTCGAGCAAAGCTTTCTAGAACACTTTCCCAAGGAAAGAAGATAAAGCAAAGTTCAAAAGGTAGGTTTAGACTGAATGTTGATTTGAGCAATGTTGTTGACTCAGCATGTATAAGTTGGAGTGGTGAGGATTCCTGTGTGGAATAATAGCCTTGAAGTATCTGATCCACAGCAAAGGTTCAAACCAAAGAGTCCGTAAGGAACTCAGTAGTAATGTGAGCTGCTTCGTGCTCATAGAGAACTTGTGGGTAACTAGCCGACGGTGTTTCCCCTTCCATTACAGCTTAACAGGGAAGCATCATCCTCTCTCCTTCTAATGCCCTCTGCGAACCCTCCCCAGTTCTGTCCATGTTAACCTAAATTTCATGTCCCATGGAAAGCATATCAGGGGCTTTCACATCAGGTTATGTTTAATTAGGAGTCCAAATATGGATTTAGATGCTTAACTTTTAGGTAACTAAGTTTGAAAATTTTGCCATTAACTATATCTTTACTTATCCCTAGATCTTATGCTTATTTCCCCCTTCCTGCTGGGTTCTGCATCTCTGGGCCTCAGCTGGCATGACACAGTAATTTGGGACATATGAGTGGAAGAAATTTGCCTACTGAATCTTGGGCATTGTACCTGAGAGGTCCCAATCAAATAACATAACAAAGGGCCGGACCTAAACTTTGCTTGTGGGGAAGAAAGGTCTGGTGGTTAGAGCAGTATCCTAGGACTCAGGAGACCTATGTTCATTTTCCTGCTCTGCCACAGACTTCCTGTGTGACCTTGGGCAAGTCACTTAGTTTCTCAGCTGCCATCAGTAAAATAGTGATAATAGTTCTTCCCTCCCTCACAAGGTGTTGTGAGGATAAATATATTAAAAAGCTTCAGGCGATCAGATACTATGGTGATTTGGGCCATATAAATACCTAAGACGGATGGAAAAGAACATACAGGAAGTTTAAAGAACATACAGACACCTACGACTGAGTAACAGACAGAGAGGTAAAATAGTTAACGTTGGGTGCATCTGGTGCTGTAGGGAATGAGAAATAAGTCTGTGCACCCACCCACCTTGTGGGGTCTCAGTGCCCAGGCTCCAGCCTGAACCAAAAAGTCTACACTGCGATTTTTAGTTCCATGAGCCTGAGGCAGCCAACCTGCGTTCTGAGACTTGGTGCTGTGGGGTTTATATTGAAGTGTAGATGTATCCTCTGATGTGAACAAATACAATAGATGTATAAATACAAATAGATAATTATATAAATACAATGTACCCTCTGATGTGAACAAATACTAGGGCTTAGGATATAGAAGTGAAACTCTTAAGGTAGGATTTTACCCACCAGAAATATGAATACAATCAGCAAGTGAATCTATGTGGATCACTACTGAATCTTCCTTAGCAGGGTTAACAAGACAGCATAGTGGGACTACATAATTGGCAGACCCATCTGGCAGCTCCTGACTTGGGTCACTGAAGCAATTATATTCTGTGCATGCTGCATAGAAACAGAAACAATGTGAGGAGGAAATCAGATAAAGAATCTAGTAATGGCAGAATTCCTTATGATCACAAATAATCCCTTGCAAAGATGCCACCAGTAAAATAGCACCATTTGAACAAAGATAAGAAATGTGTCAACAGTTCATGGGAAAGGTTGGACAAGACTCTGGGTAGAAGCAGTTATGTCGGATCTTGCCATTGACATGTTTGTCCTTCTGGACAGATTAGATCCAGAACTCTGGTTCAGGTGACCTTCAGGTCTGAGCATAACCAGTGGCCCTCATCAGAACTGTCCCCCCTTGGATTTCAATAAATGTTCTTCATGGTTATCCCCTCCCTGTGGGGGCAGGACTGAATTATCTTAATATGTAACCCAAAAGATGAAGAAATTTGGATTTTTTTTTAAAAAAATGTAGTTTAAACAGTGTAGCTATTACTTTAAATATATCCTTGGACACTGGTTAATTCCCAAGTGTATGGTATGTCACTTGGCTGTTTTTCTAGAATCTAGAGTTTTGCATGGCCACGTGGGAGTCCAATGCCAGGGAGGAGTGATGCCATCTGGAAAGGCTGGGTGAGGAGTCTAGTGGTGGAAAAAGTTGTTGAGAACACCTGAGAACCACCTCCTCCTCTTCCCCTGGCCTGCAGTCCTGATGTGACCCACTTCCCCACATTGCTAGTTCAGGAAGCAGCTAGATACAGCTGCTTGCGTGGGAAGCAGGCAAGAAGCAGTACTGAGCACAGAATGGCCTAATGCAGGAAAGAGTTACCCAGAAGAGGTAGGAGTCAGTCCTCTGTTCTTGTGTACAGTCAATGTATCTACAAGCTGGTGGTGCATGAAAAGGTCATTGGCATCTCTGAGTTTCACAAGGAGCCTGGGATTTGCTGTTACTTTGTGTACACACAGTTTATGGTAACAATTGTAATAATAGTCAGGAGCTGCAGTAAAACATTTAAAATCTCCCAACAACCCAAATGCTCCCTGCGTAAATCGTTAGTCTTAGTCAAATGAAATCATGCCTAAGTCCGGGTCTTCAGATATAGCCACACCACAAGCCCATAGACTATGTTTACTATCCTCTTCTGATTATTTAAGTCCATAAACGTGTTTAGTTCATTTGAAGCCCAATTTAAGCCTTTCTTGCCCTGAAATCCAGCTGAAATAGCAATGCTGTCACTGAGCTGGTCAAGACAATCTGGTGCCCAAGGCAAAACTTCAGTGTGCTGCCCCTCCCAGAACAGACTTTTGGGGTCGGAGGATACGTTGAGCCATCTGTTGGTTCGGTGGTGCCTTGTTTGCCTATAGCTAGAGTGACCAGTGAATTGGTGCAAAGCCCTTCTATTCTTGTTTAATTCTGAAATGCACCTGCAATCTTGGCCCTGAAATTCCAGATTCTGTTGCTGGCCTTAGCAATTTCAGGACAATGAGACTCGTTCAGAACTTGTGTGCCAGTTTTATACCACTTTATCTCTACTGACTTCCCAGGAGTTACTCTTCAGTTACGCTGATGTGAGGTCAGAAACCGATCTAGTGCTCCTAATTGCCAGAGCACTGCCGGTCACAAGTAGCTCGAAGAACTTAGATACCAGTGTGATAGGCCCTATGCATTGATTAAATAGCTAGAGTACAAAGAATGCATGAAATAGGAAGGAAATAAGATGATAATATTTTTCCTGAGTAGCCTATAAACAGAAACCAAACTTAAAATCTCTCCAGAGAGATTAATTCTATCCACAATGGGTACACCCATTATCTTCTAGTTGCCATGAAATGTTCCTAAATATCATGTAATAACTCCATGCAGTACAGTGGAATTCCCATGTCACATAGCAGGATCTCGTAGTATAGTGTATGCTAGCTTATAAAGTTTCTCATGCACTGTAGTCAATAATGTTATCTTCTATTCACAAACTATGGGCCAAATTCTTTTCATATATATGGTTCCCTTAACTTAATTAAAAGCTGGATGCTTGCTGCAGAACATAGTTATTCCACCTGGATTTTGTCTGGGATACCAGGATTAACATACATATTCTTTAAAATGTCAAGTAGGACTTTTACTGGCCACCAGTTGCCAACACATAAGGTTTATGGTTCCTCTGAATTAACTGCATCTGATGTCAGCAGAACCACCGGCCCCTCCCAGCTGAACCCTTTCCACTGAGACCCATGTTCTAATTTTAGTTTGATTTTCCAAATAATCAGCTGCGAACTCTAGAGATTTGCTGTCAGGCAAAACAATTGTAATTGACCTCTGTGGTCTGCAAGTGGGCACTCAGAGTTGATAGCATTTAGTTATACACCCTGGACTCAATTCTGCTGTCAGTTACACCGGTGAAGCTCAGCTGCATGGGGGCAGAATTTGCCCTCACCCCCGTGCTTGTGAGTGGATTCATTTTTTGTTAAATGTGTACTTGGTAGGATCTTGAGCAGCGTTCATGGCCTTATGAATGGGAAACTCTGAATATCCTTTCAATCAGCAGTGTCCAACACTTGTAGCATGACAGTGGAACTTATTGCTTCAAAGAAGTCAAGAGACCACAATTCGCGCTTAAGGGGGACCGATTCTCTGCCTTGTTCCATTCCCTTTGTGCCTCTCAGGCTGAGGAACAGCAGGGGAAGGACACTAGCTGTTCAGAGTGCTCCCGCCTCCCATGAGGATCCATTCCTGACTGTAGTCAAAGCAGTGGGAGACACTGGGAGAAATGAAGCCCCTGAACACATTCAAATACTTCCATTTAGAAATCACAGGGCATGGCTCTGGGAACACACACTGAACTCCTAATCAAATACACATTTTCTTCTTAATCCAATAGTCTCTGAGTGCCATGATTTAGAGCCTGGAGGGCCAGAGGTTGGACACCCCTGCTTTGGCTACAACAGATTTCATCTCGGACAAGCTGCAGATATGCATGTGTCAAACAAAAACCTCTTCAGATGAACTGCCCTGGATTTGAACATTCTACAGACATTGGTACCATAAAATGTCAGTGTGTCTGGAGAGGCCTTTTTAACTACAAACAGAGCAACCAAGACTGTTTGGTGTTATCAGAGCTGTCTGCTCTCGGTGGGCAGGTGGGTGGAGAATCCCACTAGGTTTGTCAAGGAGGCCAGGTTGAGCCCCCTACAGAAAGTGCAGGGGAGCTATTCCCCTTGAGCCAGTGGATCATCTAATATCCGTATAGATCTTGGGGGAGAGCCACACAGAAGTCCTGTGCTTCCACTCCAGATCCAGAGCCCCTGTCCTCCTCCTGGGTTGCTGACATAGGAAACTCCCTCCACCCATTGCTACTTTGAGAACTTCTTTGGAAGTGTATGTGTGTTGTGAGGAGGAGGCTGTTTTGATTTCCCAGCATAGAAGGCGACGGAGGCTGTTTTAGCTGGATTTGTTGTTGCTGGGTTGAGGGAATGATGTGTTCCCTTGGCCCTCCCTTTCTAGATTCCTCCCCACAAGCAGCGCTCTGGATCCATGGAGGGTCCTTCCAGAGGGTCCAAAGTGGGGGGTGGCCAGGATCAGAGCAAGGCTTCAGTGAAAGTTGTTGACTCCTACTCTGCGCAGGATGGGAG